AACTGGTAGATGGCTTTATAGTATCCAAAGGAAAGTTGGTGCAATGAGGGGAACAGGAAGAAGTAGAAAAGAAGAAAACATTATATCCAGGTTACGTTTTGGTCAGACTGGTTTAAACAGTAGACTATTTAAAATGGGGAAACATCCAACAGGTAATTGTGATTTTGGTTTTCAAGAAGAGACAGTAAAACATGTTTTGTTGTTATGTCCTAAGTACTCTGAGGAGAGAAGGAAGTTAGAATGTAGACTTGTAAAGAATAAATTACAGTTAAAAATACAAGATGTTTTGGGGTATTCTTCTACATATGAATATTTACGTTATTTAATAAACTATCTTAAGAAAACTAAACTGATAGAAAGGATATAAGTTTTTTTCCCCTACTTTTGGGGGGGAGATTATACAAGTTGCGTTCTGACCCACACTCCATACCAGTAGGTGGCGGTAATGCACACCATTAAAAAAAAAAAAAAAAAAAAAAAGAAGAAAGAAAGATCAGTAAAACACAAGCAGCTATCAATATCAGAACATTATCGAAGCCGCTACTAACTTTGTGATTTCTGTGTCACAGAATAAAATACATCCAGATAAAATCGAAAAGCATGAGTGACTAAACCAAATTATAATATTGTCTCCAAACGGAAAATTAATTGAAAGAGACCAACTGCAGAAACTGGAGTGAGCAACCAGGAAAAAGAGGAAACTTTCTATGAAGTACAAATTTGCTTGTACTTATTTTAAATAGTCAGCGGTATGGTTGTTCTTATGTCCAATACAAACTTGGCAAGATACAGAGAATTTTATTTATTTAGGTGACAAGAAGACATTTCATACTTCATAGAAGCAGAGCTTTACAACCGCGGTTCTCTTATTTGATCTACAGGAGAGAAAACTATCTGTTTGAGATGGTACTCATGAAAGGTGTCAGAACCTTGTTCCAAACCATTGCCTGTCAATCTGGATTTAAAGGAGTCACTTAACCAACTTTACTAGATCTGCATTCTCGATGCTTGCGGTACTCAGGTCATCTTCACCCACTATGTACATCAGAGGACAGTCCAGTTTCTCCACCTGCAGAAACACAAGAAAATCAAAGCAAAACTTGTAGGACATAATATAACATTAATGAGATCTTCTTGTTTGCAAACCCGGTTGTGTGCTCATAGCGTTTTACTGCAAAGTTTTTTTTAAATTAACAGTTTTGTAAATAATGAGTATTTTAATTCTCAAAGAGACTGTTGCACATTCTCCTGTACTTTGGTATTATGCTGTATTAATGCTGAAATTTTGCTCTTACAGGATAGTATTTTTATTCTTTATTCAGTTTTTTTAAATATATTTTATATTCCCTTTGTTTGAGTCTATTTGCTCTTATCTCTGGTCACTTTTGCTGCTGTTGCACAAAAATGTCACCATTGTGGGACAATAAAAGACATTTCTATTCTATTCACAGAGCTGTTTAGAGAGTTAAACTGAATAACAAATCTGCTTAATTGTGGCTCAGTACATCTTAAATGGGTATTTGTGATTTAAAATGGAGTCTCACAGGATCGTCTGTTCTTATGTGAGTGATCAGACACCATGTGTGAACAGTTTTTGTCCTGTTACCTGAAGAAATTTGTCAGGAGGAATATTAGCAGGCAGAGAGGCGTCTTTAAAAATGACACAGCCCTCATCATCGAAATTCCAAAATTCCTGGGAACTAAAAACAAACAAAAAAGAGGAAAACCAGGAGATAAATTGTATTCTTATTTATAACATGTTGATGAAATTTGTAGCATCACTCATTACAAACTGCTCAGTAGTATCTACAGGACATATTTGTTCCTGAAGTTTAATCACGTTACAACTATAACGACTGTATTTAATTGAGATTGTTTGTGACAGACCAACACAAAGTAGCTCTTAGTTATGAAGAGTACAAACACAAGATGTGAGAAACGTGGAGTGCATTTCTGTTCAGCCCCATTTAATGTCATATCCCAAAATAAAATCTTGTGCAACAACCTGCCTTTGAAATTCAGACAAAACGCAAAGCAGAGCTCACTTTTAAACAATTCATTTTTGTATAAATCCATCAGTTCTGTAAAGATCTCAGAGATTTGTCAGAAACTAAACAACAGCAAGAAGACGAGGAAACATAATAGATTATATGGAAAGATTTGTTATAGAAGAAGCTTTGTTCAGTTCATCATGTGAAAATGGAAAAGGTTTGGCCTGACTGTAAACTCACAAAGACATGGCTGTTCAATTAAACAGATAAGATCATTAATGGATGGGGAGGAAATTATTCAGAGAAGCAGAGGTCATGAAGGGATCACAGCAAACGTGTGGAAGAATGGAAGAAGGTTGTTTGATGAGGAAGAGAACAAAATTAACCTCCTGGTCTTCTTGGTGTTGAAACATAGAGGTGGCAGCATCATGCTGCGGTACTGCCTTCCTACAGCAATAACCAAGTAGCTGGTCAAACTTAAATGGAGTTAAATAAGGAGCAATCCTTGAAGAAAAACTGAAAGAGGCTGCAGATATTCATCTTCTAGCATAATCACAACATTTTAGAGCAAAACATATCCGTGTGTTAGAATGGCCCAGTCAAAGTTCAGACCTAAATCCATTTGAGTATCTATGCTCTCCATCCAGTCAGACTGAAATTGAGCTATTTGGCAAAGAATTGGTAAAACTTTTAGCCTCTATACACCATTTGAACCACCATGCAGTCCTTTGAGATGGTCCATCACACACAATTTCCATTAAAGACGTCGTAGTTTGAGGCTGTTTGGAAAATGTGAAACGGTTTTAGTGCTTTTGCAAGACAATTTATATCCTATAAATATATTACAGATTATCACCATATTGATCTGAAGGACAGCATTGAATGCAATATACTGACTTTCTTATAAATCAAATCAAATAAGCCTAATTTCAAGCTGTCTGTGGTCCTGAATCACTTTGTGATTCACTGAATCATCATCATCATCATCATCATCATCATCATCATCATCATCATCAACACCTAGCTGATTATTTACCTGTCAAAATTTTTTGTCCTGCCATCTGAATTCAAGAGTGACACTGTGCTGCCCACAGGGCCGTTGATGCCAACCAAACAAGATGGCTGCAGAGGAACACAGAAAAAATTTCAGTCGATTTAGATGTTACACATGATTACTGACCAACATACTTAATTAGAAAGAGAGTTTAAAATGAGACAGTAAGCTTCGTGACGGACTTTAACTCCGGTTTTGGTGGGGATGCGAAGCGTCAGGTAGCATCCGAAGGAGAGGCCAATGATGCCGACTCTGTCTGAGACGACCTGAGGGTGATCCTGCAGCAGGAGGAAGGCAGCCTGTGGGAGGAAGACGAGTAAAGACCAGCTACATGTTTAGTAAGTAAAACATGTACAGCTCCCTCTGCATGGTTACAGATTCACCAGATAGTACGTTAGCATAATCTTATTTTACTGGCTGTATGTTAAATGGTGGGAATAAAAAAAAATTAAAGGTTAAGAAATTATCATTTTTTGATAAAAAGCACCTTGTTAGTGTTTAGCTCCACTAACGATGAAGGTAGCTGGAAGGCAAAACTTTTCAAATGAAAGACAAATACTTCACCCACTGGGTGCCCATGAGGCCATTTGAAACTCATCCTTCACTCTTTAGACAGCCTTAAAGATTTTAATTTGTAATTCATAACTTTTTGTTTCCTGGGATATACGTCTTAAGCACTTTTCAAAATGGGAAAGACAAAAGAACACGACACTAAATCGTTAAAATAGCTGCTCACATGACCACATCTACATTCAGGTCAACAATCAGAAAGGTTTAAATCAACAGGAGCTGCGATGGACAACGAGAAGTGGAAGAATTATCCTGCCTTAAAATATGAATCTCCAACGTTGATACAGTTTGGTGGGCCAGGCAGATCTTTGTGCCCAAAGTAGGCAAGAGAAAAACTAACGTAGCCTTTGGATGCCAGGAGAGAGGAGCGGTATTCCTGCAGTCCTCCACCCATTCCCCACAGATCCAACATGGCTGGAAACGGGCCTGGGCCTGCAGCAGGCCGGGACAAAAGTAAGTAATGTCCTCCACCGGTGAAAAGTCACAACATCAATGGATAAAAGGCTCACCGGGTGGTATGAACAATGTTCCTACGAGTCCGTTTTGATTAATCTCTATCCTCTTCACTCCTGGTGCGATGTACCACCGTTCAACAGTCACCGCAGCCAGCTCGGACCACTGCCCTTCGCTGGTTGAGACGTGGCCTTCCAGCAGAGAAACATGCACCGTGTAAGGACTCTCCACGCTCTTCTTCCTCAGTCTAAAGAAAAAAGAAAGCAGATTTCAGTCAGAAATGACAGCTTTTTATACAAATGACTAAATATCAATGATGAAATGAAAGAACCTAAACCTGGGAAAACATAAAATAGAAAGAAGAAAATCAGGGATTGTGCACGTTCTTTTCTTTGCAGCACGTCTAACAATAAACGCAGCTCACTTTTTGTCTCGCAGACTTAATCTGGTTTGTTAATTTCCATGCACGCTTCTTTCAATCAAGAGATTCCAACAGTCAGAGAGAAGATCCCAACAGGATGGATGCGGGCTCTTATCAATATGTTGCTCCATTCATCTACTCTGACCAGCTTCCCAGAGCCAACTAAAGAGAGACACAGCCATAGCATTATGCTGCCACCACCATGTTTCACTGTGACTGCATTTCTTTTTTTTAATACTTATGTGCAGTGTTACTTTCCCGCCACATAGAGCGGGCTGCATGTTGGCCAAAAATCTAATTTTAGTCACGTCTTATGTGTCTCTCTTCAGCATGTTTGGCATATGCACTTAGATTGCATTTTGCAGGATGCTGCATATGAACTTTTAATAATTTTCATCAGTGTGTTAGAGTACACATAAATGAGTTTAATGAAACATGTTTCCCCCTTTGAAGTTCTCAGTGAACTTGTTTCCATCACCTGCCTTAAACCTTCTCTTCCTCCAGGAGCTGGCTGCATACTCCAGAAGAGTCCCATCGGCTCGCAGCCCAAATAGGAGCCTCCCACTGAAGGGTCACGAGTTACTGGACGGACAAAAGGCAGAAATAAAACAAAAAACAAAACAAAAAAGGCAAATGAAAACCTACATAGTCACCATTTTATATTAAAATAAAAATGGTGACTATGTCTTCTTTATCTACCTGTAGACAATATAAATTGCGTTACTTATCAACACATATGTTAACAAAACAAGAATCACTTAATAGTTTCACTCACAGCTAAAAGTTCCCCTCTCATCTGCGTTATAATGAGCGAATGACTCCCATAGATCTCCCTCGTCGCTGTGCATTCTTGCATGCAATGTGACGGGACAGTGCAGGGGCAGGAAGTGTCCTCTGATGCTGACCTGCTCGTCAACGAGGGCGCGAACAGGAGCGGCCGTCAAAACAGGAGCGGGTCTGGTGTTGCTCTTCCACCGAACTTTCCCTGCAGGATAAAAGCAATGGGACTTTGTGACACGCAGCAGAGAACTCAGTAAATTACTGATGACAGTCAAACAGGAAGTGGGTAGATAGAGAAGGAGAATAGATGTGCAGCATTTTATATATATATATATATATATATATATATATATATATATATATATATATATATATATATATATATATATATATAGAGAGAGAGAGAGAGAGAGAGAGAGAGAGAGAGAGAGAGAGAGAGACTGGATTATTAGCATTATAAAAAAGATAATCCCTGTTTGTGACTGTGGAATTGAACTAAGTTAGTTTGGAGGATTTAATGAGAACATTATCCAAGTTTATTTATTTTTTTTGTCTGGCTTTATTTTGAGGGCTCACTTTATGCCCCACAGACAACTAAACATTTTTTTTTGTTCTTTTTTGTTAAATCTAAATCCTTTTTTAGAGGCAAACCTGAACAGTCCCAGTAAAATAGTAAGAGGAGTGTCCTCCAAAAAGGGAGGATCCTAACGTTAATATTTCAATATATGTTTATAGCATGAAAATATCAAGAGATGCAACATTATTTGAAGAATTTGAGGTAAATATTTATACAAAAACAAAAAATAAACATGTTTTACCAGTAACATAGTATTTAAATCAAATGAAAGAAAAAGCCAGTGAAAATAAGTGATTACATTACTATAATACATTTATGTAAAAGTACAGACGTTTTCTAAGTTATAGGTTTTCCTCCTTATGTGTTCACCTGTAAAGCAAAGCGCTGGATAAATAAACCATAACTTCACCTGTGAGCCGCTGCAAACCTGCCAGTTTCCTCCAGGCGGTGAAGTCTGGATCCATCTGGATGAAACCAGAAAGCCGCCCTATGGCTTTCACACTCACATGTGTCCTGAACATGACGTCCTCTCTGTGTGCTCTGCAAGCAGGAATGACGAACTGTCAAGCAGAGAAACACCAGAAAAAGCATCGCTCACTGACTCCAAAGGCTTCAGTGAGTGGAAAACAAAGACATGCCAAATAGTAATCTTGATACGGTCTGTTTGTTTATGTTGCTCAAGTGTTAGAAATTAACCTTAGACCTTTTGGTTCCAACACAGGAGGGTGTTTTGAATAAAAGCAACTAAAAAGTTATACTTTATGTAATCACTGAGAACATTTTTATTTGTATTTGCTTCCTGGCTTGGACACAAATACATATATTCAAATCGATAAAATTAAATAAAAACCCTGCACATTTTGTTCTGTTTTGTCCCAGTTTGTTTTTATTGTGGTAATCTTTGCCACAATAAAAACAAAACGTTTTTATTGTGGCAATGTTTTTATACATTTACTTACTGAAGTAAATGTGAATGTTGCTGTAAAAACCGGTTAAACCTCACTCACAGCTTCACACTAATGATGAAAATACGAGTAAAAGTAATCTCCAGATGTGCAAAGTGCATCTCTTAAACAAAAACATAATGTGCAACCAAGAGAACACTCACTGTCCCTTTTAAAAGGATATTAGATTCAACCGAAGGGCCACCGAGCAAACAACGAGCACAAAGTTTAAACAGAACGTTTAATATCCCCTTTCGGCGCACTTTCCATCTGGAGAACAGGATCAAACCGGACGTTTTCTGGCAGCAAACAGTAAAAACAAGTTCACGCCTGAAATCGATTAAAAGTTACCTTACCGCTGACTGAACTCTTTAAAGTCAAGTAAAAGATTTATACAAAAGATAATAATTAAGAGAACTGCATAACTAAAGTAAAAGTGTGGGGTGTGATTATGAAAGGGGAGGGGCTGACACACGTCGATGCAACGTCACGATCCAAAACAATATTTATCTCCTTCCTACATTTTTCTATTTTACGTTAGAAAAGTAAATAAAGAACAAGTAAATAATAAAAATATGATATTTAAAAGAAGGGAAAGTTAAAAAATGTATAAAAAGCGTTGGTCAATTTACATCTGTATGAAATAATTAAATGATAATAAATGTTGACTGAATCCCACTGTTGATTTCAAATTCATATTTCCTTTTATTTGATGTCTGTTCTCTTTACCGAAGTTATTCAACTATATTACAGAAACACACCTGAGTTTGAACTTATTACTTCTTCTTCTTTTTTGGAAATCAATAAAATGCTACAGCCTTTACTGTATGACGATGTGAGTTAGTTTAAAAGTGACAAAGTGGATATTTGTTGATTATGACCCCTTCAAACTCACCAATATGGTCACTAGGTATCTAAACATGATTTATGATTATTTCTAAAATACAGAAGTAACATTTAAAGAAAATTAGAGGACCAAAGAACAAAGTTTGAAGATGAAAGAAAAATGTTTGAAGGTAAACTGAGAGGAGAAAAATATTTTAAAATGTACAAAAACTGATTCCAGTGCGGCTGAAAATAAATGAACTCCAAAATCACACATAGCAGGGAAAATAAATAGAAACAGTCCACATAAAAGCGCTTCCCCCCCCCTAAGAAGAGTCAGGAGTAGGACACAGAATGTCAGACTCCACTGCCAAAAATCTTAGCTAAAGCTGAAGTAAATATTAACATAAATATTGATTTTAGAAAAATATTGAATATGAAAGTTTACTAGGAATAAACATTAATTAGAGGTAATTAGAATCCTGAACAAGAATAAAGAAATAAGACTTAAATATGCATAAATAAGAACACAACAAAACTACGACAACAGCGTAGATTTTTTTTCTTTGTAATTTAAGATAAATAATTTCAATTTAAAGGATTGAACAAGGTAAACAATGCTATGCAGTATCAATTATGCTCATATAAAACATGTCATAGGACATTAAATACCCTAAAAAAATGAGTATTTTACCCTACCGAAACTAGAAATGGACCTTCCTACTCTTTACCGGTAGGTGGCAGTAATGCACCACAGCGTTGTTTCCCTTCTTTCACAGAATAAGATGAAGTTTAGTTTAGTTTCCGGGTCTTTTGCTGTGACGTCTTTGTTGTGAACTCGGTTTAGTCCACCATCAATACCTCCACCTCATCCCCGGAGAGGCTTAAACCCCGTGAGGAACCAAAGGGATTACAGTTTAAATTTCTCCTGAAGTGTCCGTGGTCCAGTTTCCAGGTGTGTGTCTTTTTGTCTCTGTCATTTTTAAACGGAACCTGAAAAACACGCTAGCACCAATCGTCTTCCGTGTTGTTATTGTTGTATAAAACCCAACGCAATAAAACTTATTTTCTTGGATAAATGTTAGAGCATTTTCTCCTTGTTTTCCCCGAGGAATCACGACTGCTCGTGTTAATGTTTTAGAGGAGTCAGCTAATAGCTGTCTGTATGCTAGCAGCTCTTTAAGTCATATTCCAGTTCAACTAAAACCACGAAAATGGCCCTTTAAACATGTTATAAAAGAACACTATTAACATTCCAACGTCTACCTTATTAAATTAAAGATAACATAACTTGATAAACATACTTTTACAAGATGGTCAGATGTTTTTTCCTTCTTTATGAAGATGTGTCATGATGCTACTATTGCAGTGAATGTCTTAGTTTTTTAAAGAAGCTGTGAGGGCAAAGTGTTTAAAAATATGTTCAGCTTACCTGCATACCTTCTACCAGATTTGTAGAGCTACCATAAAAAATTGAGTGAAGTAATGCATTTAATTTTGGGTGTAGGTTGGAGGGTTGCAGGTGGTACTGGATGGGCCAGCTGTGGATGCTTTGGGCCAGTTACCAGCACTCTTTGGGCCTGCATGTGGAGCGTCAGTGAAATATGGCCAGCAACTTCCGGAGCTACATCTGGGACCCAGTCCTCATTATCTGCCAGATTGTGTTGATGCAGTGCATCTACTACAGCTTCCTCGGCCTGTGGTTGGCTGGCGTGGACAGCCTTGTGCAGAGCAGTCGCTCCCTAGATCAGATCTTCAGCTATGAAGTAGGTTAAATTCATTCTTTGTGATACATCTGCTCCTTTAAGCCTGCATGTTGTACATTTACTTTTTTTTTTTTTGGAAATAGGTCCTTGGCTTTGCTACCATGCAGGGAAGACTCTCGATGATGGCATTTATCTTGAACTCTCTTACTTGGTGAGAAGATCTGCTTTCTTTTTCAGATCATACACAAACAGATGAGAAAAATACAAAGTTTTCTATTCATTACATATAAAACCACCTTCAGGTATCACAGACTCCTTAAATTACGACTCATGGAAGCTTTTTGTCCCTTTCTTTTTGTCAGTTCACAATAAATATTTTACACAATAAGTTTGGTTTAATCATGCAAACAGATTTAAAGTGAGTTACAAACGAGGATCCTCGTTATTACATAATACAGTCAATTTCAACTTATTCAAACTGATAAAAACAAGCAAAAAAGCTTTTTGTCAACCTACTTGACTGCTTGGAGTCACTGACTTCAATCAATTCTTCCTGTTGCTTACATGAAGTTGTTCACTTTAAGCAATCCCTCAAGCTGAGCCACTGAAAATGTGTCTCACATATGACCAAAGCACCTTTCAATTTGTAATGAAAATTTCAGAGATAAATGGTATGGTTGTAATTTCCAGTGAAACGTGTGATTCTGTGGCAACAAATGAAGCAAAAAGCAGCAGCAGCTCAGTGAATTAAATCATTTTAGTCGCCATCCTGATGCCGTTTCAGCAATGTGTGTAATAACCAGGTGTCAAAGAAGTAAGTACAGTCAAACAGGCAGGGTTTAGTGTATTGTAAGCCTGGCGGGCCACCAGGCTTTTCTGGTGCCCCCACCAGACTTAGCAAGGTTTTTTTAAATGCTTTCTTTTTTTAAGACTTTATAGTTTGTGTGCAGATTTTAATCTTTCATTCTTTCAATAACTCATATTTATCAAGTGATATTTTCAAAATTCATGTCAACTTTAAACATTTTTTAACTCAAAAACACGACAGGCCGCTGGATGAATGACCACCGGGCTTAGCAAGTTTTCTGGGGGAAACCTTGAACAGATATATTTGAATAAATTACTTGAAGCTGTACGCAAATATTGAAAAGTTTTCCCACTTCTGACTTGGTTTGTCTTCCACAAACATTTCTGTTAAAGGGTTTCTTTTGTCACTCCTCAGGGAGGTTGTGTCTCTGACTTCACCTCAGGAGGCCTGAGTGCTATTTTACTGGTGTCATTGATGTAGGAGTTTCTCTGCATTTCTCTGTTTTTAAGTTGATAGAAAATGCATTTTTTCTATGATTTGGTTTGAACATTCTTACAGTGATCAAAGGTTATTTGTGCTTCATGAGAGTAGGAAATGACAAATACTAAAAACTGTTTAAAAAAAATGTAAGTAATATAAAATAGAGCAGTGAATGGAAAAGTAAATTGAAGCTATTAAGTATCATGCGTTTCAAGGTTAGCTTTTAAAATGTTTTGTAGTTTCAAGATTTATTACATGAAACACAAATTGCTCATCCAGCAGAGTGAAGATTTGTCTGATTGTTTTGCTCTAAATTTATGCAAGCAAACGTTTTCCCTTTGTTTGCGAGTCGAGTTTATTCTGTTGCCTTGGATCTGTTCCTCCTCCTCCCACTCATCTGTTTTTAGAAATAAATGTGTCAAGTCTCCTTTGTGTTAACTCTCCATTTGTCATGTAGCAGCTTTTTTAACCTAAACAACTTTGAAATAAACATGTTTAGTCTTCAAAACAAAGTTAAGCCGACACCAATTTGTTTTACTATTTTTTATTTTATTTTATGTTTTTACATCCAGCAGCTTTTTAAAACCCTTTTTTTTCCCCTGAACTTTGCTGACGATGACTTGTCAATGTTCTGGCAGCGCTCTGGGTCTGTGGTTCTTCATCCGCCGGGGGAAGCAGTGCCTGGACTTCACCGTCACCGTTCACTTCTTCCACATGATCGGCTGCTGGATCTACAACTCCCACCTTCCCTCGGCGCTCTCCTGGTGGCTCGTCAACGTGGCGTGCATCGCGCTGATGGCCGTGATCGGGGAGTACCTGTGCATGCGGACTGAGCTCAGGGCCATCCCGGTCAATACTGGACCCAAATCGAACCTGTGAACTGTTCAGATGTTTTTAAGACCCGAGGAATTCGCTGATAAGGTTGTTTCCCTTGTTTATAAGCCTGTGTGAACAGACGGACTGAATAGTTACGAGTCTTATCATAAAGTTTCCTCCAGCTGACTGGATATTTATTCGTAGCTCCTTATTAAATGTTTGACAGTATTTTCTGTGTTTATAATGTTTTTGAAAGCACACCATCATCCCTACAGCTGATTAAAGTTTGTACTTTGATTCATGTTGATGTATTTATCATCATGATACTCTGTGTCCACATTATCATCTTGTCTCAGTTCCTTCTTCTCGCTCATGGTGTATAAAATGTAGAATATAGTTGTTTTTACTCCTGTACATCCTGCGCCCGGTGGAATAAAGTCCTGAACTCTCAGGGTTCTGGTTAATAAAGTAACTATAAAGTTCCTAGCTTATTGCTGGATCTCTCAACAGCCACATAATTGAATAGCAAGAAATTAACGCTTGAAAATTTGGCACCACAATGAGTCATATTCATCGTTGCAGCATCTTTAATGTGAAATGAATCCTGTAAATTCAACTGAAAAACGATCTGCAGAAGCTCCAATAACCAGGTTGCATAAATGCGTTCACCGTTAAGCTAATGCTTTGTTGAGGCTTCTGATTCTGTCAGCAAACCACATCTTTACTAGGTAATATTTGCAATGCTCTCTAAATGTATCTGGTCTCTGGTCCACAGTTGTCTTCACGTGGATCCACAGATTTTTCTGTCGGATTTAGAGGATCGGTGAAACCACAAATCGGTTTTTATCTGGCTACACCGCTCTATTTTTAATTTCAAAATGTGTTTGGATTCACTGTGGAGCTGAAAAGTGTCATCTGTTCATATGTATTCGTATTTATCCAACTTGACAAAAACACTCATTTTATCTGAAAACATAACCCCAGAGCATGATACTTCCTCTACCCTGTTTCACAGGGGGCCAAACGTGTTTTCCAGATTTGTGACCCTGAAGTTCCAGTTTGGTTTAATCAGATTACTTCACATTCTCCCACAAGGCGTAGAGGTTTTTCATCCACACTTCACAGTCCAGACATCTGGTGACTGTCAGCCTCCCTGACTGATTTACTTCTTGTGGTTTCATCAATTTTTGATCAAATGTCCAGTTTTTGTCACACATTTTCTCTGTAGATGAGTATCTTTACTGTATCATACAGTCCATAATGCTAGCACTAATCTTATACATTTTTTATGTTAGAAATCAAAAATTTTATTGAGACTGAAATCGGATTTGGTTTTGCCAGTCGTGATTAAAGTCTGCATATTCAGACTCATCGCAGGACTTTCTAGTTAAGCTTGCGCTGCATTTTTCACAGCTATTATTGTTTGGCTTTGGGTCTGCATGTATTTATGTATTATGCAGAACAGTCTGGCCCATTTAGGGACAGTTTGTCAGCCATCATCTGAGCTCTGACAACAGGGAATACGACGGGGGGAAAATACACGGACGTTTTCTGGAGCAGCGCCTCCATAATGCTTCTGAGACTCCAGCTGAATTCTTTAGTCTTGAGATGCAAACTCAGACGATCTCAGTCTTTGGAGTTTGCAGCTTTGAAAGTGCAGGCTATGCATTGCTTTAGTGTAATTCAAGAGCTGTTTCCCATTTGATCAATATGGACAAGACATAAAATCTCTGAGTTAGAAGCTGTTGGGCCTTTCTGTGCAGAACAGCGGGGTGTTAGTGTTTTCAAAAACGTGTTTTTATATCGTTGGCCAACAGATTCGTAACTAGTGCTGGTGTCATCTCAAGTAATAACATGCTAAAGGATTTCACACTATGTTTTTACTTTAAGGTGGGTCATTTAAGGTTAATGCGAGATTATACACGTTTAGACACATTTGAATAAAATATTGGTTGTTAATAATGGTAATTATTTTAAATGTTTTAAGTTTATTGGAGCCAGATGTAAAACACTTTCTATAGCTTGTCCATATCACAGCTCATCATTTATACAGTGACCAAACCTGGAGATATATTAGATCTTTTATGTTTATTTGACGTCCTGACTGGATCATATGAAACATTTGTCATTTTCAGTAAATGGAGAAGCTATTTAGATGCTACCACATAAGTTAGCGTCTCATTGTGGGGAGTAATGCTGAAGGCCTTATGGTTCATACATTAATGTTGGGCTTCAAAGAAGTCCTTAAAACGTCTCGATTAGATTTGCTCTAATGAGAGACAAATAAATTACAGTTCGTTCGGCATTTTTACAATCATTTTTTAAAATAAATATTGTAAATGTTTGAATTGGTAGTATGTATTTTTTGTCCACTTGAGGTTGAATTTCAATAGATACAGAATCAGGAAATTACCAGACAATTTTTTTTATGTTAAAATCATACAATAAGGAGAGAGTGTACTTTGTTTTTACCACAATGTGTTTGTCAGGGAGCCTTAGTCGATGTTCTGAGCTAAACATGCTCTGGTGCAGTTCAGTGATCTGTCCCTGCTTTTCCTTTTTAAGAAAACAGAATAATATCCAGGATGTGGAGCAAGTTTCCTCCTGCAAAATGCAACAAATGTACCAGTTACTAAGCAGAAGAACAGTTTCAACTTTGAACTTCTTAAAAAAAGAGAGATTTTGGAATAGACTAGTCTAGTTAAAGTCCAAAACAAGATTTAGATGCTGTTGTGTGACGTAAAGCAGGTAAAAAACAATCCATTGTGACTGAATTAAAACAGCGCAGTGGGACAAAATCCTCCACATTGATGAGAAATTTTACATTTTTTTCCTGGCAAATGTTTGACAGCAGTTTTTCCTGCCGAAAGTGGAAGCAGTTGTTTGGTCAGGTGGCATTTATATTTTATACAGCATTTTTCTTAGTAAGTCGTGATTTTAAAAGGCTTTCACCTCAATTTAAGAGAAGAAGGTTGAAAAGTTTTGGATTTACAGAAGCATAACCCCAAATAAGAAGAGCATGCAACTTGCAGTCGTCACTAAATGAGATACTTTTGAAAAGAAAAGGTTTTTTTGTATATATTAACACCTACTGACCTTTACATTCATATGACTCATAGCTGCTGCTGCTGCAGTATTGTTCACCAGGAATGGCCTGGAAATCTAATTATGTTCCAGACAAAGATAGTTTCTCTAATGAGGTGCGCATCATGAACATGTCGTTACCTCTTAAGAGGTTCTTCCACTACAGGCCGTGATCCGTCACTTTGCCTCTGCAGGACATATCCAGGTGGAAAGCAGCAGATGGGCGAACGCTAACGAGTGAAAACTAAAGCTATTTGTGACCCTCATTACCAGCTCACTGCTGGATGAGAAACTGAGACGGTTGGATGAATAAGTTGCAGGAAATTTTACTGTAATGTCCTGAAAGCAACCTAAACATTAATGCACACACAAAAAGTTGTGTTTAATATTTGTGCTTTATTTTTATAGTTACTTCATTTTTCCATATATTGCTTTACAGAGTTTTGCAAATGTGTAAAAAAAAAAAAAGAAAACATACTGAACATTTTTTTTTACATTCAGGAGTTCTTCCTATGATTAAACTCTCTTCAAAACTTATTGTACTTTTACTGTGTGCATGATCACGATCATTTTCATGCTTTCATCAAACGCATATGCAGGGATAAAGATTCTCTCCCAAGATATTGCTCATGCTTAAAGGAGATGACTGTTTTCTGTGTTTCACCGCCAGGCACACAATGGATTGACATGATATTTACTCTTTTAAAACTTTAAATAAGTCGAATCAACTAGAACAAACATGCTCAGGAGATGATGAGGCGACAGGAGTGGGGATAGTACAAATCTGCGTAACAAAGGATGCTGTTACAGTTCATGCACAGGCCACCTTACGTGACGTCCAAGCTAAAATCAACAGTTTTTCTGACACCTGGTCATAAAATATCATGCGAGGAAAAACAAAATCAGTTGCAGACACCTGTACTAACAGAAATATGCACAATTTTGGTCAAATTGGAGCAAACACATGCTAAACAGGTCACTGTCACTTGCTTCCTTTTGCAGTGGAAGAAGAAGAAAAAAAGATGGACGATTACAGACAGCTGAAACACTGTCTGTACCAGATGAGTGGGAACGGTGTTAGTTATGTAACTTCAAACTGCAGAACTCACTTTTATTTTTATGAAACTTGCATTTCCAAGTACTGATTGCAGAGTTTTTATTACAATTGTTGGGTCTCTCCTACTGCCATGAATTGGTTTTGCTTTGTAGGAAAAAAAAAAGTGGTATTGTATAAATCAGGTGCAACTATTCAACCTTTCCTGCCCCACCTGGCTTTGCCATGTTGTATGGGTACAGTTTGTGACCATATGGGTCCCAGATGTGTTTTGTACTGGTTTTCTTAAACACCAATGTGAGATCTACAGTTTATTTTTGTCTATAGGGGCTGAGCTGAGGAAACCCAGTGCATTCTTCATAAACATTAAATGACTTCACATTTAATTTCTCGTGCCAAAGCCCCGGCTTGTATTTTGTTCATGTTTCCACTGCAGGAAAGCAAAATTTCACAAGACGACAGTCACACTCCAGTTATCATACAGGTAATTATTACAATGACAGCTGTGACTTAAGGCAGGAGGCCAAATAGTTTTACATGGACGGTTAAAAGAGGTACAACCCTGTACACAACATGTTTGATTTTCAAAAGGTGAGCTCTCCTGCTTGTGAGATCCATGTATAATATATGAGCAGTGTGTAAACGACAACACAGCTTCCTCCCCCAGCAGCACGGTTTGGAAAAGAAATGTTTGATTTAAAACAGATTCAGATAGATTTCTAATCAGAGAGCTCGTTTCTCCAAGTCTGAAGTGTTGTTTCCCTTCCAGATGATAGCACAGGGCAGGCAACAGAGATATTTTACTTTGGAAGTGTTGCTCCATGTTCGTCTACATCCATACCCCTTGAACTGGTTTGCATTCTGTCAAACTTTAACGTGCTGTATTAGGAATTAATGTTAAGATGTGGCATTGCACCCTCTTTACTCTGACGCCACTAAAGAAGAGAAGGAGGCTCCATCTGTTCTGTGAATGCTTCGCAGGTTTTTCAGAGAGCGCTGCTCCTCACCCTGAACACACCAGCCCTAATGGGAGACATGGTGGAGGTAGCATCATGCTGCGGGGATGCATTTCTTCACAGCATGGAGCTCGCAATGCAACTACAGCTTCACTGCGAAGGCCTCAGAGGTTTTATTAGAGGACGCGTGCAAGATGCAACAAAGATGTGACACATGCAAAGGTTTGATGCTTTTTCAAGCCGCTGTAATCTAAAAATATGATGTTCACATGCCCAGCTTCTGTATGTGTGCTTATCTTAGTGTTTAGAAAAGGCTAAAAATCAGGGAAGTGCACAAACAATAATAATAATAAAAAAACAAGCTTGTGAATATAAAAATCAACAATTAGCATTTGCTTAATTTGCACGTTTGATATGTTTTATTCTGTGGTTGTTGACTATTTAGTAAATGTGCCATCAGCCAGCCAGCATTCACATATGGGGCCCACATGGTTGGGAAATGGGCCGGAAACAGGAAGACTTCAGGTTACATGATGTCCCCTTTATTATTACCTCCATAGGTTTGATGTTGATTTATCAAGACAAAATCCAACAAACCAACAAGCCCCCCCACACACATGCTGGCTAGGTAGGTTAAGCTTTTACTTATTTATTTTTGCTAAGAAAATCAAGTTAAAACTTTAAAAATCAGGTGTGATAAACTAGTTTCGGACCAAAAGTCATTTACTATAATGCTTTCCATGTTCAAAAATGCACTTTTATTTCCCTCCTAAGCTGCTATTTAATAAAGAAATAAGCTTCATCATTATCAGAAGACTTGAAGCGTTATCGGCCAAACTAAATTGATTGTCCTGCCACACACAAAAAAACAAAAAAACAGCTCAGTGTAAAAAAAGAAAAAAAAAATCCTTTAAAAACATTTCAACCTTTTAAATCCTTGGCATTAAGTCTGAGCTCAGATGTACTGAAACTCATGAAAAAAAAGAAACTGAGCCCGGTCCATCCTACCCTCATACCCCCATCCACGTCCCGTCTACGCAGAGGCACCGCTCGGCCCGGTCAGGACCAGCACCAGGGGCAGGACGAGGGCGGCGAGGGGCAGACGGGCGCTGGGGGCGCAGCTGGGGCTGCACAAGTCGAACAGGCTTCCCTGGAAGCGGATCTTCCTGGAGTCCTGCTTCAGGGTCTCCCAGATGGAGCTGACTTCCTGCTGACAGTCGGACAGCGCCGTCAGCGCGCAAGTGTGGAAGGCTTCCCAGTGGCTGCGGGCAAAACGAAGGACGGTCAGAAACTGGACCCGCGACAGCTTTTCACGAATTCAGCGGCGGCGGCGGCGGCGGCGGCTGTGGATTAATTACTGCCAGTAATCTGTTGCTCAGATGGCCTTGCGTGAGTCAAACCGAGCGCTGGTTGCCACGGCAACGGCATCCGGGAGTGAGACAGTATCTCGCAGATGATATTACAAGTGGGCAATTTTCGGCAGAAGCCGTGTAAAAGTGCAAATCTCTGCCTTTGGTAAGCTGCCAGGGATGTGGAGTTTGTGCCGAAACGACGTCAGAAGAAATTGTCCCCTGATTTTCACTACGGCTGCACTGGAGTCATAAATTATTTAGCACAACGGCTTTGTGTCTCAGTATCACTCATTTCTCCTTTCTCCCTCTGAGATTACAGCATCTGCTCCCCTCTCTGCAGTATTTGCTTATGACATGAATATTTATCTTCATTATAACACCCAGTTGTACTTATTAAGCTGAAATGTTGGTAAAATGATTTAAATCTGAATTCACTCCATCTTTCAGATTAAACTCTAAAATCAGTTTTAGTTGTCTGTAAATAAAGGTTCCTGCACATCTTTCAGATTAAACTCAATATCCCTTGAGAACGTAAGACTGCTATCCATCCTTAGACAAATTTTAAATGAGACAAACATTTTCATTATAAAAAAATCTGATTTATAGACATTATTTTCCAGTTTTCTCAGACCTTAGAGGTTATTTATAAAATGTAAAATACCATAAAGATATTTTAAGCGAGGAGAGACAGAAGAAAAAGCACAAAACTGAAGGATGAAAAGAAGAAAAGAAGGAAGAAAAGCAAGGAAAACAGAATAAAGAAATAAAGGAAATAAAGGAAATTCTGGATGTTGAACGGAAGAAACAAAGACAAAAAGAAAACCAGAAGAAGGGAAGATAGAAAAACAAGAAAGACAGATGAAAAAGATGTAAAAGCAGGGTGGAAGGAAGAAAAGAAGAAGTGAAATAAGGAAGGAAAAATGAGGAAAACAAAGAATAATTAAACAATTGGATGATTAGAAACATTTAGAAAACAAAAAGGAATAAAGTCTGAAAATGAGTGTAACCTTTCTATTCTTATCAGATGCTCATGCCATCGCCTTTTTTTTTTTTTTTTTTTTTTTAAAAAAAAAAATTTTTTGCAAGCCCCTGAGACCGGCCCCCCCCCCCT